TTCTTTTCTAGGCATTCTGTTAATATTTGCTTTATATAACTTGTTGTTTTTCTATTGTTGTCAAAAGTTGTTGTTTGCTGCACATGTTTAATAGCTTTATTTACTTTCATCATGTAGTTTTTGTTGTTTTTTCTTTGTTTATTTTCTATTATATATTGTGATTTTTGTATTACCAGAACAGATCTACAATTCAGAGTTAAGGCCGATTTTCCAAAATTTGCAAAATACAAAAAAATATTGCCGATTTTTTATAATTTCTTCTATTTCTTTGCTGGTTATGCTTCTTTTATTCAAGCTTTCTAAGAGACTGGGTATTTCTTGTGATTCTTTTTTTTTTCTTAGAGCCTTGAGTTTAGTTTCCTAGTGGTCTTGAAGTATTTTTTGTAGTTTTCATTATTTTGTTTTTTTTAAAAATTTGTGTTTTGATAATTAGCAAAAAAAGTTGTTTGCTTTTTTTCTTTCACTTTTTTTTTTTTAATTTTTGTATTTATTTTTTTATTTTTCTCTTACTTGAACTAATATTCATTTTATTTTTCTATTTAGATATAATTCATTATTATCAGAATTGTAGTTTTAAAAATATTATTGCTAGAGCCATTACTAAAATTGTTGCTAAAATTATTAAAGCTATTAGAAATTTTATTAAAGTATTCATCAAAACTATTTATTAAAGCTATTTATTAGAACTATTTATTAGAGTTATTTGTTAGAACTATTTGTTAAAACTATTCATTAAACTATTCATTAGAACTATTTGTTAGAACTATTTGCTAAAAGTTATATTTGATTGTTTGTACAGTCAGACCTCCCTAAGTGCACGCCCCGGAGACTGACCATAAATGTACAATTAGAGAGGGTGTGTACTTAGAGAATTACGGGTTATGTTATACAAATTTATGATCATCCAATCAAAATAATTTTTAATTTAATATTGAAACCCGCTTATTAGCATGCTAATTAAAATAATTAAAGATTTCGCTGTTTTCACGAATCCTGAGACACTTGAAAAATTTAGCAGAATGATTTTTAGCCGATTCAATTAATTTTGTGATTTTGGCATAAAAATTTTATAAATTGATATTTTATATTTTACTGTACGTATATAATTTCAGAAATATGATATATAATACATATAAAAATATATCAATCATACCAAATCATAAACATAATTAAAAAATATCTTGTATCGCAACTGTATTGTACATATATATTTACAGTAATAAAAAAATTTTTGAATTTTCATTTGACTAATTTTTTTCAGGTATCCTAGATAAAAACAGCTGTAATTTATTTCAAAAATAAATGTGAGTTTAAAAAATTTTTTTTACGTTTTAAAATTCTAAAATCAGGAGCATATGCATATAAAATTTATAAACTTTTTAAAACATTTATCTGCTGAATGCACAAATTATTTATGCGACTTGCGTAAAAAATATGAAATAAATTCATGTATTTCATTGCATAATTTCTTTAATACTGTATAGCATAATAAAATTAAATTTTTTTATATATTTAAAATTGAAAAAAAAATTTTAAAGAATTTTTTTTAAAAAAAACAATCCTTAACCGTTTTTTTTTAAAAAAAAGAAAAGTGTAAATTTAATAAAAAAAACGCCAAATGTTATTTAATTTTCATAAATAACCCACCGGCCCGCGATATTGTTGCGACACTGCTGAGTTGTTTATAATTACTATCAATTTTTCACATACATTAAGTTGTAGAAAATAGAGAAGATTTTTCTTTACCTATTTCTCCAATTTATTAAAAAGAATCCACTCAATCCTTATGTCTTAAAATATTCATCTATGCGAGTTCGCTGAGCAGAACTTGACATCATTTTTCTAATAAATTTCTCAAGAAAATTAATTGATTTTAATTGATCACCTGAGCCTTCCTGCTGAAGTAAAAACATCCGAACATTTTTCAAGCTATTCAATACCGAACTACCACTAACAACTGTGGGTTCCACACTATTGTCTTCCTCTTCATCCATTACCTCAATATTTCCTTCATCTATAACTTTAACACTTTCATCATTTCTGAACACATAAGCTAGCTTCTTAATGATTTGATCCTCTGTGAAAACTTTGTAAACAATCTCCTCACTATTAAAATTTAAGAATTCATCAGTTTCTATTGCATTTGGAAGACAGAAAGTATTCAGTGACCTAATAAGATTTTCAAGTCTTGAATTACCAGCTTCACGAAGATCATCTGAAAGATTTGCACTAGACAGGAGAATTTTTGTATAATGCTAGCAGTTATGTATAGTTTTAGCCAAAACTTCACCCCAACCCTTTATAATATACAAGATCGCTTGTAAAACATCTATCTTCAAATCCTGAACGAAATTACCTGCTTCAACTTGCTCCAACATCCATCTAATATTTTTAAAAAAATTTTTTTTTTTAAATTTAGATTCAATAGTTGTAATAAACTACTGTATCAGAATAAATTAAAGAGTGAAATTTAATACAAATATTCAGCCCTATTTCACTGATAGTCTGCTTCATTAACAGCCTTATTATTAAAGACCGTATTATGTAATTAGCTATCATTAAATAAACTATTAGTAAAACAGGGCTACCGGGATTGAAAATTGTGGCGAATAAATAAAATAATAATAAAGCAAAGAATGAGTAAAACAATAAAAAAAATAAATAAAATAGAAATAAAATATATAATACAATAACTTACTGAAGATGAAAATGATGATAGGCTCTTTTAAAAGCTATGATTATTCCTGCATCCATTGGTTGTATCCTAGAAGTTGTATTTTTGGATAAAAAATATACATCTACATACTGGAGGGTTAACTCGTCTAATTTATGACTAGAACAATTGTCAAGAAGTAAAAGAACATGCTGGCCCCTATGCTTCTGCAACATTTGGTGATCAAAATTCTAAAGCCACTCTTAAAAAAGAATCACAAGCATCCAAGCCTTAGCATTGCTCCTATATATCATGAGCAAATTATTAATTTTTACATTTTTGAAACATCAGGGTTTGGCATATTTGCTAATTATAAGAGGGGTCAACTTATGAGATCCATCAGCATTCGCACATAACGCCACAGAAATACGTTCTTTATTTTTTTTGTGCCCTGCAATTCACCGAGTCGCTAAGGTTCGATCCGGTTCCAATCTAGAAAGAAATTTTTTTATTAAAAAAAAAAAAAAGAAAAAAAAAATTTTATCAAAGAAAAAAAAAACCACAGGTAAAAAAGTCTGGTTTCGTCCATATTATATATGCGGTCAAGAGGGTATTTGGAGTATTTACTTTGCAATAAAGGTAAGGATTCAGTAATAACATCCTTATCAACAGAATCTGCTTCTCCATGAAGCTTTATCTGACAGATTCCATTTCGCTCTTTAAATTTTTGGAGCCACCTGGAAGAAAAATATAACTTGCCTTCAGGGACTCCTAGTTCATCTGCTAACAATTTTGCCTTTTCGATCATCATAGCATCACTTAGAATAGTGCAGTGTTGATAGATTAGTATGAATTCCTTGAGCGCTAGCTCAAGCTCTGGTACAGTAACGGTCCTATGTCACTTGGCATCTGGATGTACGATTTCATTTGAAAGTCGTTGGTCCTTAGTTTGTAAGATTCAAGTAACCATAGACTCATTAATTTTAACCTCCATTTGTCTTCAATCTACTTCACATATTCTGTGCAGGTTCTCTTATTATCACGAGCGTAGACACAGAATTCAAATTTTTGTGTATCCGTTAAGGTTGTTCTTTTTAGCATTATTCAAAAAACATTATATGAAAAAATTAGAAGGTGCAAAATTATTGCTTAGAAGAGAATGCAAAAGCATTGATTATCAAATTTAAAGGGGCCACTAAAGTGGCAGATTCATTATTTTAATATTTTTTATTTTTTATTTTTTTATCATTTTTTAAAGAGTTAATTAAAAAAGTTTTAATTAAAAATCTAATTTAAAATGAATTAATTAAATAAAGTCTTTGATAAATACAGCATCAAATTTTTTTTTTTTTTTTTAGAGAAAAAGAATTTACTAAAAAAGTAGTTAAGGTGGCATTCATAATTTATGTTAAACTGGTTTGTTATAAGATTCCTATTTTTATACTAGTTTAACGTAAATTATAGAGATTACATATCATCTGTAGCAACGTCATATAATTGTTTGAAATTTTATTGGTCAAGATGATCTATTAGCACGTGATAGTGCACTTACGGAAGATAGCCTAATAATAAAAATTAAATACACGTGCAGAACATAGAGTGTATGCATTTAACACTATGGTCCCAGCTTGGGACCAGGCTTTAGTGTGCATTTATAGAGGGTGTGCACTTATAGAAGTGCACTTAGAGAGGTTTGACTGTATATAAAGTTATCATATTAGTTTTTTTTTTTGATATTAAGGTGACCTTTCGGTCACGTATCTTTATTCGGTTATAGTTATAATTTTTACAGTATAATTTTTATACTATATACATATTTGGAAAGTACAACTAGCCACATATGCAACTTTTGGTTACCTATTTTAAGTAGTTCACTTATTACTAAGTTCTATACTAGATATCATACCTATAACCTAACTAGAAGGTTATCTATTTAAACTTTCTGCATCTATATCATAAATTCTCGAAATAACAGACAGAAGCATTAATTCGAAAACTGTGCCTTCTAAAAATAGTATAGGTGGTTTTAAAATAACATCTATACGTAGAGTGCGAGACAGGCTGGGCTAAACCCAGAAACTTTCGGGTCAGCAAGGCTTTTGTTCAATTCAAACTCATAAATTTTGAACCTGCTATTGTTCGAGCCAAGTACAAATCAGGCTTGTTAAATATTAGGCCAGTTCAGGCTTCATGAAAAGCCCGATCAGATCTGATAATATCGATAAATATAGTTAAAGGCACAGCTTTTCATAAATTCTAGAACATCTGGCAAAAAATTAACTGACCAAATATTTGCTAATTTGATAAGTTTTGATTTAGTAGTGATCATTCCCGAAATTACAAACTTATTGAATCAGCAAATATTCAGCTAGTAAATTTTTTGCCAGGTGTCCCAGAATTTATGAAACAGCTATAACATTGCAAAAAAAAAACTGGCCAAGTTACAAGAACCAATTTTATTTATAGCTATTACAGCTGTTTTTATAATTTTTAAAACACCTGGTAAAAATCTGCCAAATGATTTTTTGGCTGTTTCGGTTAAGTTATTGATTTCAGCATGATCAATATATAATAATGAATTACAATTTATGTTATATTATATACATATAGATTATATTGTAATTTGAAATATATATGTTGTTTTGCAAGTATTTAAATGAAATTTAGTAATACAGTATTGAATATACTGATATTTATAATGTTAAAATTATTATAGAAAAGTATTATATATAATGTATATATCTTTTATATATAGGGGTATATAGGGTAAAAATTTGCGTGTAAATTCTGATATGTAATTTTTGTTATATAAATAATGTTGTCCAGAATTTTTATAGAGCTGGCACACAAAGTCTAATAATGTTGGCAAAATTTTTGTAATGCAGATCAATAATCATGTGTTACTGCATTAATTAATGTAAAAGTTACATATGTATATATGTATATATATAGATATAATTTGTAATTTTATTTGAATCTATTAGGGGCATCTATAAATAACGTTATATAAGAGGGGAGAAGATTTCACAAAAATAATATTTTTTACGTTTTTTGCTAAGTTAGAGGGGAATCGAAGAAAAATAATCTAATTTTTTTATAAAAATATTAATATCTTGTGACCCAGTAGTTCAAATTGAATAAATTTGATACCATTAGATTCATCTCAGTAAGAGGAATCCAATGGTACCAAAATTATTCAATGTGGATTACTAAATTAAAAGATATTGGCAAAAAACTATTGGCTATATTATTTTATATGAAATTACTATAGAATTAACAGTTTTTTGCTTATATCTTTTGATCCAGTAACCCAAATTGAATAATTTTGATACTATTGGATTTCTTTTATTGGGATGAATCTAATGGTACCAAATCTATTTAATTTGGATTACTGGGTTACAAGATAATCAAGATTTTGTAAAAATTTATATATAAATATATAGATTTTTAAATTTTTTTTATATAGTCTAAGGGGGTCAAAAGTTACTATGTGGGGATATATAACATTATTTATGAATGCCCCTTATACTGAAATAATAACTTAACTAGAATAGCTGAAAAATCATTTGACAAATTTTTTATTAGGTATTTTGGAAATTATAAAATAGCTATAATAGCTATATTTGCAAAATTTTATATAAAACTATGAACTGGGCCAGGTTGGGTATGGTTTTGAATAAAGCCCAGTCCAGTTTATTTCACAGGCTTTATTTTTTTTCAGGTCAGACTCAGGTTTACAAATAATTTTCAGGCTATGTTCGGGTCTAAACAGGCCTGGCTTGATCTAGCCCATCCCGCACCCTATTTATGTATGTTCTGAAATAATGTGCATCTAATAGTAAAGATAGTAAAATTTAAAAAAATGCTCCAGAACAGAACCCTGAGCAATCTATGTAAGGGTAAAAGTTTTAAAAAATTACTAAAAATAGAAGGATCTGTACAAAAATGGTCAAAAATAAGCATAAGTTTTACTTAAAATAGAAAAGATTTTCAAAAAAATAGTTAAAAATAAGCAAATTATATTCTTACCCATATATAGATTACTCTGGGTTCTTCCAGAACTAGGTTTGGTACTATGTAAATTTACTTTTGAGCTTTAACAAAAGTTGTTCTTTAGATTAAGATGGTTTTAATAGTATTAAGTTTATCAAGAATAATATAGTAAATCGTCCACAATAGCTTTCCAATATTTTGCAACTTATATAAACAGAGATAGACAAACGTTGCAAAACTTCAAAGAGCTATTGCAGATGATATACTAGACTATTTTTAATGAACTTTAATTAAAATCTAAAAATAGATTTACTTAGTACCGAACCTAGTTTTAGTGTATTTTTATTTTTTTTTTTTAAATATTAAGGTAACTACTTTGGGGTTTGGCACAGTTTATTAACTTCTTAGTTCAATTATCAGGATGCTGAATAGGTACCCCTTGACTTTGTTACATCAATAAGAGTACAATTGGTCATATATACAACTTTAGTCATTGTCTAATTAAAGGCTCTGCTATATCTATTTCTATCTATAGTTACTTACTAATTGCTATATCTAGGATCCACTTGTAGATCTTCTATTTAAACCCTCTGATCAACTTAGCACTGTCAGATACTTTCCCAAAAGAATTCCTGCCGCTAAGGCCCTTAGGACTACTTTATCTTCGTGATAAATCTACTAGAGTGGTCTATATTCTACACATATATCACTTGGGTTTTTTAGAAACATACACCTTAATCCAAAAACTGAAACTTGCGATCTTTTGTATCACTACTGTAACCTGTTCTTATACCGATCACTTCCCAACTACCAAACTAGTTAGTTCAGAAAGGTTGTTATACCTAGGCTCTAAGTATCTTCTAGTTTTACTTTCCTTGGTTTCGAATTCTGTAATATCAGACCTTTTTCTCCAGTATGACTTTGGCAGCCAAGTTGGTGGACCCATCTTGCCTCAGAGTTGTTTGTCTAGTTCTTCAGTCTCCAGTTTCGGTTTTCTGTAATATTGTCAAAGATCTTTACTACTTCTAGCTCAGGTTTTGCCAAACGGATTTCAAATATTCTGGTTCCTTAGATTTGGATCACTCTAAAGTTTTCATTTTGAAATGGTGATACCAAGGTTACAGATAATATACCCAACTGATCGTTGAATAAATATTATCATAACACAGGTCTATTTTTTGAAAAACATTTCTGGTAGAAATCGAACTCTAGACCTGCCACTTGGGATGACAACTAAACCACTACTCTACATTGCCACACCCTG